CTTTTATGAAATAGTAGTAAATTGCATTTTAAACTGCCATTTTGATTAGAAAAATCTCAGTTAAATTACGTTTTCTCCAAATTGTACAGCACTATTGTAATGTGGTAATTATTTCTAATAGCCTTATTTTTATAAGCAAATATTTATAAACACTGTTATAAATGTATTGCTCATTATGTGGTAATGTTCATTAATGTATTGACCAAATTTAACTCATTCTTGCAAAATGTTACCTATATTTATAAGAACATATACAGGATGTTTAAGGATCATATCAACCAAGAAACATATCCATTAACTCAGTATTTAACATAATACATTGCAACAATATAAAGACATACTCATAATTATTATCAATGTATATTATTATTATTTGGGCAATATGGTGGCGCAGTGGGTAACGATGTTGCCTCACAGCAAGAAGGTTGCTGGTTTGAGCTTCGGCTGGGTCAGTTGCACGTTGAATTTCTGTTTGGAGTTTGCATATTCTGTGTGGGTTTCCTCCGGGTGCTCCGGTTTTCCCAAGTCCAAAGACATATAGATAAATTGGGTAAGCTAAAATTTGTCTGTAGTGTATGAGTGTGAATGAGTAAGTATGGTTGGCAATTCATTCCACTTTGGCGGCCCCAGAGTAATAGGGACTAAGCTGAAAAGAAAATGAATGAATGAATGAATTATTATTATTTAAATTACGTTGAGGAAAAGTGACAGTAAGGGCATTTCTATGTAAAATATATCTTTATTATAAGAAAAATTTGAGGAAAATAATGATTTTGATAAAAATATTAACAGCAAAAGGTTTTTTATTTAAACAACAATTAGGACAATTATTAATATTACAATAATGAAGCTTGACATAAAAAACTGGATTAAATGCTGCTAAGAATTCAGTTTTACTCGACAAACAGAAAACATTTAGTAATATTTCTATATTATATCCGAAATAAACAAATTCAGCATTGGTAGGAATGAGAATAACTCAAACATTTATTTACTTATTTTTTGACTACTAAATGAAAAATGAAGTGTTTTTTTCCTCATTATAATTTGGATTTGAACGGCTGCCACACTTGTCCTCATGTTTTGATGAATTTCTTCTGTTCTTCTGCGGTTTGACCCTGAGTCTTCTTCACTTTGTCTTGCATGCGTACAGTAGTCACATAATAACAAATGACTTGGCCAGAAACGAGGCAGCGAATGAAGAACAAAAGTTGTAAAAGCTACTAAATTAGAAGTGGCTTCAAGCCCTTTGGACTGTCACTAGAGATTTATATTCCACTCCAGCAAGGACACATTGTCCACTCCTGAGGAAACCCAGTGAAATCTCAACATGCATTATTCCAAAGAAATCTAAAAAAAAAAAATAATAATCTATCAGTATTTCTCACTGTGCAAACATTTCCCAGACAGAATATAGAAATGAATTTGGCCTCCTCAATATTGCTGTAAACCTATAGAACCTATAGTGCTTCCCACACAAAGTGACAGATCTCCTTTTCTTTTAAATTAATGTTTACGTGGCACTTGTCAGCAGTCTTGGAGTTTCTCCAGTGCGTTTGTTCCATTGCGAGCAGATTGTCTGTAATGGTGAAGAAATGAGTTTGGGTTTGCTTTCCGCATACATGCGTAAGAGCCATTGATGGGTGGAGAGCTTTGCAGTGAGAGCACTTGATATTGAAGCGGCAGCATCTTCCTCTTGCATTGTTCCCTTGGAAATAGATTATAGGGCTGTATCTGCGATAACTTTAATTACATTTCACTGCACTGGGTGATCGGGAGCTTGTGAGCGGTAAATAGATCATTGGATAAGAATAATAAATAAAACCCGATTACACTTTACATTTATTTAGTCTTCTTTAAACATTCTATTGACTTTATTCTCATTGGAGTTGTAGGGCCTTCTAAAACACACTTGATTATTTTTTTCCCCATTGGACTACATTTTACATAGTGTTTTGTAGTTTACAAAGTGCAAAAATTTGCAAAGTTAGCATTGTCAGACACTCAAAACACAATTCTCAAGTAAATAAATATAGCCAAAACATACTTTTTTTTTTTTTTTTTGCTTGAGAGTAACGTTGTGTAAAAACCCAAACAGATATAAACATTAGAGGTCAGAAATAGTGTGTGGAGGTGACATTTACCTATAATATGCCCCAATAATTGTCAAACATGACCCTTCAAGTATATTTCATTTGAACATGGAACATGTTATATTGGGAAGATCACTGAACTTTGTTAAGATAATTAACTCACTAAATTATTTGGCAAACTACACTCAAAAATAACTCATTGGATGAACTCAGTTTAATTGAGGGCAGGATTTCCATCTAATAAATTGGTTTAGCACCAACTAAAAAAACACAATTAAATGCAGTTGAGTTGGTCCAACATGATTTTATCATTTTACTGGATTTTACATTTGTATTTTTATTTAACTTAAACTCAGAAGTCTGATAATATCATGTATGTGTATTATGTGTCATACATTTTCAAGTCATTCATTCATTCATTTTCTTTTCGGATTAGTCCCTTTATTAATCTGTGGTCGCCACAGCGAATTGAACCGCCAACTTATCCAGCATAAGTTTTACGCAGCGCATGCCCTTCCAGCTGCAACCCATCTTTGGAAACATCCATACACACTTATACACACTCATACACTTCCGACAATTTAGCCTACCCAATTCACCTGTACCACATCTCTTCAGACTTTGGGGGAAATTGGAGCACTCGGAAACCCAAGTGAACGCGGGGAGAAAATGCAAACTCCAACTGACCCAGCCGAGGCACGAACCAGCGACCTTCTTGCTGTGAGGCGACAGCACTACCTACTGTGCCACCGCGTCACCTATGTAGTTACTTATGTAGTTGATTGTGACTGATCTCGGAACAAGTCAGTTTAAGACAGTTATTGCTCACTTAGCAAAGCAACAAACTGTATTTTTGCTAATTAAGTTGCCAAAACCCAAAGCATGCCTGCTTCCGCAAGGTGGTAATCTCAAAACTCAAAGCATTACATGAAAATCTTCTAAATCTTCAAACTGAAATGAAGATTAAACTCTAACAAGTCTTTCTATTAACTTAAAACACCTAAGATTACTTTTATTGTCAACATTTCTCTCTCTAAGTTTAATCCCACTCAAAGCATACTGGGAACTACAAATGCCCTAACCAGGTAGTTGGACCAACACAATTCCTTCATGTTGTCCCAACACAAAATGCTTAAGTTAACGCAATGGTTTACAAATTTAAGTGTATTGAACATAGAACAAATAAATTAGCCAAAGAAATTACAAGATTTGTGTTGTTTCAGCTAATGTTATGCAGGGAGTTTGAACAAACAGCAGTAATCATTTTTTGAGTGTATAGCAAACCATAGATTATGGGTTTTATTTTACTGTGCAGACATAGAGAACCAAGACAAGCTAACAGAATTAAAGAATACATCCTCTATCCTGATAAGGAGAATAACACGAGTTAGGGTGTATTCCCGAACTAAGAGCCCTCTCCATGGACAGCACGCCAAATACGCATATTCTATTCAGTCAAATATCTGTGAGTGTGAACTCGTGAGTGATGTTTTATATACAAAATTCGGGAGGAGCACGATCAGTCTTTGACAAGGCTAATTCATCACAGACAATTATTCTATTATCCAATTAGCTAAAGACAAAAGCCCTATAAATAGTCAAACAGGTCATATCTAGACTTCAGCATCCCTCCACCACCCCAACTCCACATTATTAAACCCGATACCTATTTAATACTGAGGGGGGACCATTCTGGAGCCAGGCTAAACACTTGCTCGGACCCGATCTCTCTCTCTATACTGATAAGAGGAATAACACAAGTTATTCTGAGTTAAGCTCAGAGCCCTTTCCCCGGACAGCACACCACATACCCATATTCTATTCAGTCAAATATCTGTGAGTGTGAACTCGTGAAATAATATTTGAATATTTCAACAACTTTTGTAAATTTTGACTAAATACTTTTGTCAAAATGTGCGAAAAACAATCACACACACCATCAATAATTGCTCTAATTTGATTAGATGTAACGTTTCAGTCTTCTGATTTTGCTCAAACATGTGAAGCTTTTTTGTTTTTCACATCATTTATCGCAGTGATTTTGTTTCTTTGTGTATTAAAATATGCTAAGTTTGAAGTTGATAAAGAGCTGTGGGCTGAAGTTAAGTACCAAACCGCATTACATTGAATTTGCTCATTTGTTGGCTTATTATTTAAAAATAACTAGAAAAAGTAGCTTGAATGCATGTTAAATGGTGTGCAGTATAATTGTAACGTTTTATAATCGACTTATTATAGTAAAAACATAAACAATTCCATTTATAACACAATGGAGCTCAGTAATGGAGCTCAGTAATTGAGCCACAATTGAGCTCATCAATGAATACACTAGTCGAGCTGCTCCTACCTTTGCCTTGATTTGCTCACCGATGTCTGTTGCATTGTCCTCTATCTGTAGTGACAGTATTTACATTTTAAAATTCCGATTCATATGAAACATTTAATTTTAGTTGGCTTTTTTTGTAGCTCCTCAATAAAAACAAAGAAATAAAAGGGTTTACATTAAATTTGAAATGACAATTTCTGTCAATGGCATTCACCACAACCAACTCCCCATCATTCTCTGTCTCTTCTCAGATGGGATGGTGGGCCAAACCAAAGGTTACCATGGGCCAACTTTGGCCCGTGGGCCCTACTTTGGGCACCTCTGCTTTAATCTATCAATATATATTAAGCATTAATTAATTGTATTTACATAATAAATATTATATTATGATGTGTGTCATTATTGTGTAATGAAATTTTTGTCATATCGTTCAGCCCTCAAAAGAACATCCAAAGTGTATCATCAACATAAAGCTGCACTAAAAGTCATCACTCAATTGACCCTACTTAACTAATGCACTTCTCTGTATGTTTGTCTGTGTTGTGTCCATCTGTTTGTCCATATTGTGTGTTGCATCACAGACGTCTCTGTTGGCCTGCCGGTAGGTGTGATAATCGTGTGTGTCCTGGCACTGCTGCTGCTCGCCTCATTCGGCTCCTGGAAGCTCTGCTGGATCCCCTGGAGGAATAAAGCCCTGTCGTCCAGCTCTGCTGCCCTCGCTCCGGACGACTGCCCCTCGCCTCACATCCCATCTGTTCTGCCCAGTCCTCAGCCGTCCGAGGCCATGGCGACGGAGAAGGAGAAGTACCCGATGGCATCCATGGGCTTCCTGGAAGCTGCTGTTAAAATCAGCCACACGTCTCCAGACATCCCGGCCGAGGTGCAGCTCTCCATGAGAGAACACTTTCTGAGGAGGACACAGCGCATGCAAAGGCAGACCACAGAGCCTGCCTCGTCCACCAGGTAACATTGACAACAACAAAAACACATCCACCACTTTTTTGTTAGTTTATTTTAAATATATGAACATTCATATGCAATTATGAATGTATTTTATCATCTTTATGTCAAATTCGAGGTGTTTTTAATCCAGCGTCTATAGGGCTGAAAGTAAAATTGACATTATTCTCTCTTCTGCCGTCATCAGTCTCACACAATTCTCTTCCTTTTTCTGAAAGTCTTGATAACACCATCGTGGAGTTTTTATTTTTTCAGCAAATAGGATTATAAAAAAATTATTAGTTGTACTCTCCCATTCACTGCACTCTAAATTTACCCAACCATGATGCCTTTTGCTACTGAGAAACCCTAAAATGTGAAAAGGGTCTATTGAAAATTCCATCTTACCCTTCACTTGTTCCAAACCCGTTTTAGTTTTTTGTTCTGTTGAAAACAAAAGATTATGTACATATTGTAGAATGTTCAAAACCAGTAATCATTGACTTCCATATTATTTATTTTTCTTACAATGGAAGTCAGTGGTTACAGGTGTCCAACATTCTTCAGATTATCTTCTTATGTGTTCAACAGAATCAAAAACGCTAAATTTGGATCAATTGAAGGGTGAGTAAATGACAGATTACAGAATTTTTTTTTTGTTAAACTATCACTTTAAGCTTAACATGACTAGTTTATTGATTTTTAAAAAATACGGTAGTACATTAAAATTTTATTTCAGTTAAATATATTTTCATTCTAATTTAATATATTGTAAATTGTATTTTTCGTGTGATGCAAAGCTTAATATTCAGAATTATTACTAGTCTTTAGAATGCCTTGATTTTTCAAAAATCATTTATGCTAATTATATTATCATTATTATTAATAGTAGTAGTCCTGAAAGGAAATATTGTTAAGAACAGACACACAGTAAACAAACAGAGTATTCTTGTATCCATTTACCCTGCACCTTGGCACTCTATATCTTCTACCGGAAGCAGTTCATACCGTGACTACATAAAACAACATCATAAGATTGTTTACTCTGTTGAAAACCTACATTCTGTGTGTTTTTCAAGTACATGAACTATGTAAATGGCCAAATACTACAGTACAGTATAGGTCTTTGAGTAATAGGATGGTCATGTACACTACTTGACAATAGTCACATGTACAGTAGATTTTGGGTCAAATACAATCTCTTCTTTTTTATTATTAACATATTTTTATCACACCAATCAACAAACACACACATTTCTGAAATATTGCCATGCTCATAGTAAACTTACTATGGCTGTGTTGTCTGAATATTTAAAAATACAATTCTGGGAATGCCTACTTAAGCTTACAGTCAAACCTGATTGTTGTACCTCATACACATCTCAGATCTATGGGCAATTAGGCTTTTTCTTCCTGTCCACTGGCCTCCTAAATTTAGGGAAATTCAGAATATGATACTTTAAAAGTTCACTTAAAGACAGATATTTTTTAAAACTTGCTTTTACTTGTTGACTTTATATGAATTCATTGTATTGTTTGCACAGCATTCAACACTTTGAGAAACCCCTTTAAAGGAAATATATTTAAAATAAAGTGTATTATCATTGTTTTGAATTAAATTAACTAAAAAATCCATAATCAAAAAGAAATAAAACCAAAAAACTTAAGAAAAAAGGGATTAAAAACATAATCCCTGGCACCCCCGCGCTCTCACTCCCTAAGTTATCAAAACCAAACACAAACCTCTGAGAAATAACAAGAAAAATTATTTATTTGCAGAAAATAAGGAGGAAGGTAACGACGGGAGGGGTCAAAGCCAAAATATAAAAGACATTAAACAAGTAGAGAAAACTTCCTTGGAAAGTAGATTAAAGATAAAATACAGAAAACTTCTCTAACAACACAGGAGAAAATGGATGCTTAATTTTATCCTTATTAATATAAAAAAATGCCATTGCAGTTTATTATTATTATTATTATTATTATTGTTGTTGTTGTTGTTGTTGTTATTATTATTGTTATTATTAGTATTATAACAATGACTTAGTATTATTACCAAATGCTTTAATTTATTCGCCATAATGAAATATTTCATTGTGGCAAATTTGTTAAATATGTATATTTATACTTTTTCGGCCTGTGTCTGCTGTCAATTTACTCCTTTTCCCTCTTTCTCTCTCTCTCTCTCTCTTTCTCTCTCTCTCTCTCTCTCTCTCTCTCTCTCACACACACACAAGTGCCGCTGCATACACACTGGAGCATTTCATTAGTCACATGCAGAACTGTACACACCTGAAGGCAATGCAGACTATGAATCACACTGTCAGACCACCTTCCTGCATTACTACATCTGCGCTCTGGTTATTCCAGTAGGACTCAAAAGGCATCATCAATCACAAACAGCCAATAAATATAATCTCCTGAAGACATTACACAGTAGATGAACACTGAGGCCAACAGGAGAGCCGCAATCTTCTCTCAAACAACATTTATACGAAAAGTATATTGCTGATGATGCAAATTTTTTAGAGGACGGTGAAGCGTTTCATCTGAGACTGCTGTGTTACAGTATGTTATGCATTCAATAATGTCACTCCAGGGCGTTTTTTTTCATGTTTAGCTGCTTCGTAATCTCTGGAAATAAGCAAGTGCTGCACATGCATACTGAATTCATTTAGGGGAGTTCAATGGCACAGCACTCATCTACTTAAAATGTTAATGTTAAGGAGCAATGTTTTTATATAGCTTCATGATTTGGCTTCACTTCTCTAGCTTTAAGTTATAAAGCACTGCCAAGATCAGCTTGACCGGGAGAAGGTGTCTTTATTCTTATTATATAATATGCAATTTAATTTATTAACTATTATTAGTCTCCTTTTGAGAGAAACTGTTACATAATAAACGAAAACTACTTGCTATTTTTTATACTGTACATAACATTATAGTTAGTCTTCAGTGGAAATTATTGTTAATAAATAAGCATATTACAATGTAGTCAATTAATAATTCTATGTCAGTTAATAATTCTATGTAATTGTCATTATTTCATTATTTTATTATTAATATTTTCATTATTATTAATAGTAATAATAATTATGTTAATTTAGTTTTTGTGTTAGAGTTTGTTATTTTTATACTGTATACAGTGGTCAGCATATATAAATACACCCTTCACAAATTTCAAATTTATATTTTTAATACTAAAAATACATTAGATTAGTCAGTACTGAAGCCCCAAAAAAAGAGAAAAAAATCAATAGAAGTAAAAAAAAAGGAAAAATTTAGTTGAAATTTTGTAGGTTGTAATATTTTTGCAATATTTTAATGATTTAATTGTATTATTTTTCAATTTCTAAATATGTTTGGTGACATAAATATTTTTTTCTAATAAATATATGTGTTTAATAAATCTGTTTTGTTTAGATGCACCAAAATACACTGCCTATATTCACTGAGAAATGGAGAAAAATATTTATTTTCCGAAAAGAGAATGAATGAATGAATGAATGAATAAATGAATGAATAAAAAATTTTAAGTGAAAAAAATATCAGAAAAAATGATAGATTTTGATGATTTTGCTGATAAATTCAGTGATCGCAAAATCTTGGAAGAACTGATATATAGCCTTTTACTGTATATAATCCTTAAAAACTTTTTTGTACATAAAAGTTGTATTTTTATGGTTTTACAGTAGTTTCACCTAGTTATAGTAACCCTGAGAAATATTTTCAGTTCTTATTTTTTAGCTCATGCGTGCACAGCTTGCCTTGGGCTGTTGTTCAGTTTTCAGTTCAACTCTTTCCAAACAGCAATCAAATCCCTCATGTGTCTCTCTCTTTGTTATCTCATTTTTCCAGGCATAGCTCTTTCAAACGCCACCTTCCCCGTCAGATGCAGGTAAGCAGTCTGGACCTGGGGGATGACTACGACGTGGACGAGCAGCCGACCAGCATCGGCCGCATCAAGCCTGAACTCTACAAACAGATGACCACAGAAAACGACGAGTCCGCCAACAGCAAAGGCGGGAAAAACTGTGGCAAGATCAACTTCTCCCTCCGGTACGACTATGAGAACGAAATGCTACTAGTCAAAATTCTCAAAGCTTTTGATCTGCCGGCCAAGGATCTCTGCGGCAGCTCTGACCCGTACGTTAAAATCTACCTGCTGCCCGACCGCAAGCAGAAGTTTCAGACGCGAGTCCACAGAAAAACACTCAACCCTACGTTTGACGAGTCTTTCCAGTTTCCTGTGCCGTACGATGAGCTGGCAGTCAGAAAGCTCCATCTCAGCGTTTTTGACTTCGACCGCTTCTCTCGGCATGATATGATCGGAGAGGTCATTCTGGACAATCTGTTTGAAGTGTCTGATCTCTCGAGGGAGACGTCCATCTGGAGAGACATTCAGTATGCTACCTCTGTAAGAAAACCTTGCTGCTCTCAGTCCTCTTGATGTGTTTGCCAAAGCCTGAGTCAGTTGCCTTTAAAGCTGTTTTTTTAGGATGCTCTGATATTTATCGATCATGTATTGATAGGATAAGTCAGTTAACACAGTGGGATGACAGTGTCTGAGATCAGAAGTTTTCCTTAAGGCATTTTTAAACTGTAGATTTAAATTTAATACTGTTTCCAATTTTGGGTTGAGACATCTGACTTCTCACAAAGAAGTGAAAGCTAGCGATGTTTCCAGAATTTTTTACAAACTGTCACACTTATCTAATTATTTAGTAGGGTTTTGGAACAGTTAATGTGATTGTTGTTTTATTGTGCGAGCTGATTTTGAGTCATTTAACTGATATCACCCACGTTGGAGACAATAACAAATCTTGAGTCCAACAATCCAAAATTACCCCTGTATGGGATTTTGTTTAAATATGCAAAATAAGGAACCAAACAAGACTCAGGTGAACATAATAAAGTATTTAATGAGTAGGTTTAAATGAACACCAATAATCAGATTTTAATACAATTAAGAATATACTCTGATTAAGAGTCGACCATGTAAGCAGAGATTTTTGATTAATTTAAACCAACTAAAGTCATAATCGAACTAAATCGAAATCGAATAAAGACATGTCCAGTATGCACACAGATTAGTGGAGTCCAGTACAGACATGTAAGCACCTTAATCAAACTATAACCATGGTGTAGAATATTCGCTACATTTTGCAACAGGAGATTCTATATACACAGGGCTGTTTGACACTATTTTTTCTGCACCAACCAAGACCACAGACACCTGCATCGCCAAATGCCGAGTTTTTTTTTGTCCCTCAAACGGCATGTGCTATCAAAATTCATTAAAACAACACTTTTCCAGCAGGTCAAACTTGCATCCAATATCTCATTTGTCATGGCCAGCATGCAAGAAATGTTCCTAAATGAAAGTGAAAGTGCCAAACTGCAGTTAAAGGGGACAAATAAAAATGAAACACCTGAAATTACATGAAACACTAGAGAAAATGTGGATGACAAGGTGATGCAATAACGTTAATCGATTAGGTGCTATAAAATGTAAATCGGGATCATGAAAGGAACATTCAAAAAGCAATTCATGTAAACACCTTAATCATATTTTTGTCTTATTCAGATTAACGCAAATAATTTGATTACTGATGTCCATGTAAATGTTGTCAATGAGTGAACTGTAAACCTGAACCAAATGACCTAATCTGAAACTAGACAAATAGGAAAGAACATCTGAATGAATTACAACATAATACTTCACATATATATATGTTTTACATATATATAATTTAATCATGTTATGGCATATATATATATATATATATATATATATATATATATATATATATATATATATATATATATATATATATATATATATATATATGTGTGTGTGTGTGTGTGTGTGTGTGTGTGTGTGTGTATTTGTGTGTGTGTATTTGTGTGTGTGTATTTGTGTGTGTGTATGTATGTATGTATGTATGTATGTATGTATGTATGTATGTATATATATATATATATATATATATATATATATGCCATAACATGATTAAATTACATTATATATTAAAACTTGTATTTTTGATTGAGGAAATGTAGCCTTGGTAAGCATAAGAGACATTTGTACACTGTAAAAAGTGACAAACCATTGTAAAAAGTGAGTTAAACACGTTGCCTTAAAAGCGGCATGTTGACTTAACTGTTAAGTTGACAAAATTTTCATAGTTATCAACATTCGACATCGACATATCGGCATTGTTCATTTACCTTACAATTTCGGGGAAATGGGTTTACTCAATTCTTTAAGTAAAGTCAACTAATCAGCTGCATCCCAACTGGCACACTATACTGCACTTATGCATGTACTTATGCACTGACACACTCAATAGCATAGTATATATATGTAGTGTCAGCCCAAATGGAACACTAATGGTTTTTACTGAGCGGAAATTCAAATCATTTCCAAGATGACGTTTGCCAGTTGCTAAATTAGTGAAATAAATGACCAAACTACCAAATAATACCTACCATGAGTAAAACGGCATTCACCATCTGGAAGTGGTACAATCACTCTTGTAGGAGAATACGGCTTTCATAATCAAAAATAAATAAAGTAATCCAACATGAGCTCCCAAAAGCTCCGCCCCTTCTGCTATGTGAGCAAAGCTGCGACTGTTGTGTGTGTAAAATGTCCATCATTCCACACTTCATTTTTCCTGTTGAATAAGTGCATCATCCAGGTAATTAAAGTTCACTTATTATTTTTAGTTTTCAGTGGGAACGCACTACATACACTATACTACAAAATGGCGTGGAATAGTGCTTAAGTATGCAATTTGGGATGCACATATAGCTTTTTACTGTGTAGCTACTCTGTATAGCCTCAAATATATGAAACTTACTAGAACATAATGTAAACCTGAGACATCAAGTCTGCTAAATAATCATCACCTGCAACATTCTAAATGAACAGTTGAATTTCGGTTGCTAAGAGAAGGAAGAATCGTGAAACCCCAATCAAGAGCTCTCGATATTGCACTGCTCAGACAGTTTGTGTCCTGTGCAGATTAGAAAATCTATTGACTCTACATAACAAGGCCATTGTTGCATAATTGACATTGACATTATTGTCTTTTGAAATACCATCACTATATTTAACACACTGTGTGCTATACACTGGCTATCATCAGGACAGTAAAATTAAAGAGAGTTAAGGTAAATGCTCTCATTAACACAGGTAATTGACACCTGAAGATGACTGACACATGCTGATTGTATATGTATGGACAGAATAATTGGCTAATTTATGTAACGGCCACTAATAAGAAGTGCTGCCAATCACAACACATTAAGTAACCTCCAAACACAGGTAGTGAGGTCATCTGAGGCTAGTTGATCAGGTCATAACGACAGGCTAGATGAACCCCAACTGCTCCTCGATGAGTCTTATTTCTCTCTGTTTTCGAGATTTACAGCCATTCACAGAGGAGCAATTCAATAAACCTGTGGTTATTGCTTTCATGGCAGGAGGCCGGCTGCCCCTTCAACAAAAGCACACATCCTATTGCACTTGGCAGGAGATTTGAATCACGAACACAGGGCACATCCTTTCAGAACTATCAAAAGGGGTCGTTAACCTAAAAATGAGAATTCGATCATGGTTTACTCACCGTCATGTCATTTCATACATGCATTATGGCCTTTTTTCACACTTTTGAACACAAAAGGCTGTAATTGCCAGGATCTGTTCTTTATACTGCGAAGTAATATTGATTTTCAAGCTCAAGATTTATGAAAAGCACCATAAATAGTTTAAAAAAGTGATTCATTTTGATTATATGCCATATTAAAGTATTTTAAAGCTATGCAAAAGCTTTATGTGTGAGTGAAAACTGCATCATACTGCTGTCAGTTAATTACGTGGTTTAAGTATTTGTTCCAGTGCTAGAAATATGCCATATCTCGTGCTAACAATATTCTAATGTGTAAAATTAATAATAGTTTTAATAATAATCAAAATAATCAAAAACACATGTTTACAGTATTATAGTTAAAGCGTGATAACAACAAATTAAATATTTGTTACAAAATAATAATAGCATTGCTAAAATGTTTCTTACTCTTAAAAAAAAAAATAAAAAAAAAGCTTTATTATAGAAAAAGTAGTATTTGGTTTATTTTTGAGAGAGTAAGAAACATCTAAGAGCTCTGTGATTTGAAGCTCTCTTTCGAAAACAGGGGTTTTCAAACTTTTCAGCCCGCGACCACTAGAATAACAATGCCAGTGACTCGCGACCCCCAAATTCCTAGTAGGTGGTTATAAATATACAAACATTGCGCACACAACAAGAAGCCTATATAAACACAAACATACTGACACCACAAAAAATTGCAACAGTTTAACAACCATTTCATTTTTATAGTCATTTATTAATTTGTTAAATTTAATATTACCCCAAAGGCTGGTAGACATAGTCTTTTCAGCACAAGTCTATTTAATTTATCTATTAATCTAACGTAAACACACCAATCCTATGAGAAATGGTCATTTAAAGGCTGATGGCTTTTCATGAGCATGTTGTTGTTTTTTACTTTTTTACTTTTACTTATGTGGGTTATGGTTAAAATATGGTAATTTTAATAGTTTCATAAAATTGATTTCTTTTATAATGCACGTACCAACCCCCCGTTATAGTCTTGCGACCCGACCCCCCCTTTGAGAACCACTGCTCTAAAAGATCAGAATCACCCGTTCAAATCCTGGTTGAGAAATGACCAAGTAGCCAATGAGTTCTGAGAAATTACCATAATTTTCAAAACATGTTATTGTGCTAATAGAATGATAACACTCCACCAATGTAGAAATTAATGTTAGAAACATGCAAACTACATGCTTACTTATCTTAGAAACATTTTTCATGTTTTATACATGCTAGCAACATGCTAAATTATGTTAAAATGATGATAACTATGCTAGAGACATGCTAATGACATGTTAATTAATAACAGAATGTTAGCAACATGTGAATTTACGTTAGAAGCATTGTTTTTGTTTAGAAAAAACGACTAGCAACATGCTAATTTATGCTAAAATTTATGCCATCTTAAAAACATGCTTACACTATTTTGCTAAACATCCTTACACACTTCAAATACACTGTAATAAAACCATAGTAAATGTTTGTTACTAAATCCATATTATCTGACTTTTCTGAGTAAAACAGTTAAACTTCATTTAAAAGTAGCATTTTATTATGTTTATTTAATGGCAATGTTCACACTGTATACTAATATTTGCATTGTAAAACCCAAAAAGTTCAGGTAACTTACTTCATTTGACTAAACCGATTGCAACAAACCATTTAAGTTCAAAAACTGTACCTAATGAGTAATGTGAACCTAATCCATTTGAGTAAATTAATCAATTTTAGCACAGTAAAACCCAATAAATGAAGAGAACTCAAACCACCTGAGTACTGTAAAACCCAATAAGTTAAGGCAACTCAAACCGTTTGAGGAAAGCTATTACAACAAACCATTTGAGTTAAAAATCTAATCTATATGAGTACTGTGAACTTCCTCCATTTAAATTGAGATAATGAGGTATTTAATTAACTCATTACCTTCAACACTGAGTTCAAAACTCTTTTCAAATGAGTACAATTAACTTTTAGTCCATTTTAAGTTAACTACACTCATTTCATTTGATAAAGTTGACTGTTGGGTTTTACAGTAATGTATCTGTTTACTCAAGTCTTCTTACTTTACAAATATTTTCCTGAGGAATTTTACAAAAAAAAATATGTCAAACTTGCATTTTGCCCATCCATCAAACCACTTTAAAAAGTCCCTACATGATGCTTAACCACAACCTGCAAATAATCACCTTAGAGGGCTAGAGAGACATTAAGCCACAAGTAGGGGAGTCAGGGGATATATCCGTCAGAGAGAGGCTTACTGAGCTCATTTAAAGTGATTAATATTTACACCAGTCTTATCAGAGCTCAGAGGATGACGCTAACATGCTAACTCCAGCACTGTAGGATGGCTAACTTCGCCTTAGTGTTGCACACGCTTACTTTTCAGGGAAACTGGACTGTGTTCAAGTCTAAAAATGGCACTTTCCCAAAGAATTGCGTTTCAACAATTTGCTGTACACAATTGTTTTGTCTTAATAGATCTAAAAGAATCCAGACATGCTTGGATCAATTGTGAAGAAAATGAAGGAGCTTGTTCTCTGGGGAAAGGCTGGATTGTTTTGTGGTGTTGACGTTTAATTAATGGTTTGCGGGAGTGATGCACAGGAGAGTAGTGCTTGTGGCTTGAAGGGTCACAACAGTTAATTGGTCGCTGTGGCTATATCTGTCCACACAGTACTCCTTTAGACTTCGATACGGAGTCACAGACTTATTAAACCCAACCTTCATAGTCAAAATGCCAAACCGCATCCTCAAATACCAATAAATAACTTCTAACAGTGATGTCTAGCCTTTCCCATGTCTGGGAAACTATAGCAAAATGACTAAGATGATTAAGCAAGATGTTTGGATGTGAAGATAAAAAGGTTAATAATGATGCATAATCAACACTACTGCAATGATTAGTCTTTATTGGAGTGTTTTAAATCTATTTTGACATAAAAGGCTATTATGTTATGAAGATTAAAGTTAAATGTTTAAATGTAGCAATTTTGATAATGAATAATATGATTAAGACAATACTCTTATTAAGAGTCTACCCTGTAAACAGCGATTTTTAATTACCCTAATCCGACTAAGATCATAATCGAACTTAACCAAATCAATTAAAGACAGTATGTTGATTTTAGTTACATTATTCAAGTGCAGTACAGACATGTAAACACATTAATCAAACTATTATATTCGTGTAGGATTTTCAACACATTTTGCAACAGTTTGACACTATTCTCTGCACCTACTGAGTTAGTGATGGACCACAGACGCCTGCATCGCCAAATGCCCAGGTTTTTTTCCCCAATATATGGAGTGCAGCATCAAATTCCATAAAAACAACACTCTTCCAGCAGGTCATACTCGCAACCAATATCTAGTTTGTCACGGGGGCACGCATGTTCTTGAATAAAAGTAAAAGTGCCAAACTTCAGTTAAAGTCAACAAATTAAAAATGAAACACCCAAAATTACATGAAAGTCTGGAGGAAATTTGAATAGCATGGTGACACAGTCATCTACCTAAGGGTTCTCCAACCCTGTTCCTGGAGAGCTACCTTCCTGCAGATTTTAGTTGCAACCCTGACCAAACACACATGTTTGTAATTATCAAGTTCTGCTTTAGGTACTATTAATTGGTTCAGGTGTGTTTGATCAGGGTTGGGACTGAATTCTGCAGGAAGGTAGCTCTCCAGAAACAGGGTTGGAGACCCCTGATCTAGCATATTAAAATCAGTTTGAATTACAGGGTTAGGGTCCGGGTCCTAACACCAACCCTAACCCCTAATGACTGCTTTAATTAATGGTTTACAGTCACCGCATTGTTGGTTTACAAAAAAAAAAATAATAAAAATTGTACATTGTAAATTGTACAAACATAATCCTGTTGCACTACTACACTAGATTTTTTGGTTTTATTGTAAAAAGAATGAGAATCTAAAATATTTAATGGCTTTAAATTTAAATTTTATTGACTTTAAAGATAGTGTTAAATTTTTTTCATTATATTCAATTATTTTGTAATTGTAGCAATTTTTACTCATTGATAACTGCCTTTGTGTCAAAATTATAACTGCATCTCATAACTAACTTAGTGTCTTAATTGTGAATTTCATAATTTAATTGTAAATCATAATTTCCAATAATCATGTAATTATCATGGCTAAATATGTCAATATCAATGTCAATATTAATGATTTACCAGCATACCATACAGTACTTTTTTAAATTACATAATTATGACATTCCAAACAATTCCAATCATTACTTTTTATTTTCTAGATTAATTTCTTTATCTCGTAATTTAGAATTTTTATTACAATTCGTATTTAACAAATAGTTATGTTGTGTGTGTGCAAGTGAGTGTGTATGTTGAAAATGCTCTCCTAATGATCTTGACTGCAAATGATACTTATGAGGCACTGTCAGCTCTAATAGCATCTGTCACTGGTACATTATTGCTCAATTACTGTTTTTATCTCCATTATCTGGAACTACTGAATTGAAAAGATGACCTTTATATGAAAACATGTCAATACATCATGCTACATTGATTTGTGTGTGTGTCTGTATGTTTTACAGGAGAGTGTGGACCTTGGGGAGATCATGTTTTCACTCTGCTATCTACCTACTGCAGGCAGATTAACACTCACAGTCATCAAGTGCAGGAACCTGAAGGCCATGGATATTACAGGATATTCAGGTAGTATTTCACATTTCAGAGCTTCACTGCTTTTGAACACCTAAATACAGATGGGAGATTAGAAGGAAAGGATGTTGTAAAATGTGTCATAAGCACTCTGTAAAAGTAGAGAAGTGAATGCCTTTTTAGAATAGTAAAGTGCTTCTTTTTGGTTAATTGTGCATAGTTAATTTAGACTAGCTAATAATATTTAGTTAACATGTCAGATTTATGTAAAGCAAATCTATTTGGGTTTAAACATGCATGTTAATAAATTGCATTGTATGAAATCAAGTAAATTATTTGTCTTAAATATTAAATAACACAATGAAAGATTCTTCACATATTGAAAGCAAGTTCAATCATTCAATTCAATCAAATCAGTCCATCAATGTTTTTATATATTTTTACATGTATTTTTATACATTTTATATATTTGTAAAAACTCTGGATTTTTTACATTAATTTATTTAATAATTAATTAATTAATTAATTAAATAATTAATAAATTAATAAATTAATTACTCACTTTGCAGGTAAATATAGAATGAATTGTCGTACATGTGGATTCAGCTGTTGGAGATACAAAATGTAGTGTTGCAGAGTATGTAGTCATCAAAAAGTCCTATAAGGTAGTGTGCATGTCAGTTTTCATGAGGGGTGCTGGATTTGGATTGAGCACGTTTCAGGTCTAAGTACCCAAGAAAGGATTCTCAGGTAGCAAATAACTTTCCGTTAGAATTGGACCTCATAAATCTGAGCTTTTCCAAGTGGATAAGGGAGGCCATATCCATTAACCAGATTTGAAAGGTAGGAGGTTAAAGAGATTTCCAGTGTTTTAGTATTAGCCGCTTGGCTTGTTGGAGATGTTTTGAAAGGGTGAAGGAGTGTTCTGAACCAAATAGCAAGATCTGTGTCTGGTTGGAAGGGAAATGTTATAGACATTGGAGTATGAATCAAAAATGTTTTCCCAAAAATTCAACAAAGAGGGGCAAAACCAAAACGCAAGAGCTGTGCTGTTCTCTGTAATGTTACACTTGTCTTGCATATGTGAAATAAATTTTAAAAATTTGGTGTAATGTGGTTTTGGTATAGTGCAGGAGATGAATAACTTTAAACTGTATTAACCGGTGCCTACTATTTACCAAACAGGGCCAAACTGTAGTCAGGCTCTTATCCCATAGTTCCTCTAATATTTAAGTTCCAAGTTCATCCTCCCAAGCCAGTTTAAATTTCTCATTAGAAACTGAGACAAAAGTTTCAAACAACCCAGCAAAATTTGAAATAAGATGAGTGGACTGAGTAGGGTTCAGCAAGACATCAAAAAACACGTTTATCAGGGATATATTCAAAAATAAAAACTTTAGATTTCACAAAATGCCTTACTTGCAAGTAACAAAAAATGTGAATGGGGTAGATTAAACTTTTCCCTCAACTGACTGAATAATGCAAATCTATCTTCAACATAGAGGTCCAGGAGGATTTTTACAACAAAATAAACCATTTGCTAATTTGTCCAATTATCATTATCCTTTTCTCCTTTTGAAATTCGGAAGAAATATTATCAGACCACAGAATAAAACAAATACAAAATTTTTAATCTAAATATTAATTATGGCCATTAAATCTTATATCATTTCTTATGTAATGTCCATATGATATTTGACATATACAATGGTCAGGCATTCCTCAGTAAATCATACCCCATGACATGTCCTGAAATATAATTATACGTATTAGTTTTACATCAGTCTCATTTCTCCTTGCCTAGAGGACAACAAGAGTGAAAACTGGCATCGCTGTCCCCTATAATTGCTTCATTTGATTCTACAGCTCTTCTGTTTTCTCATATATGGTTAATGCCAGCTTCCTTCATGTTCTAATCATTGTTTCGTGTTACAAATTGGCTTCTGTTCGATCTGTGCATGTAAACAAAAATTTCCCAGAGGTAAACAGTGGCATCACATAGCGAGCTAAGCCAGAGCATCTGAAGAATGGGCTCTAGTAACACAATTTACTCACACCACCATGTTTTTTTTTTTTATAATGATACAGTGGGTTGCACACCAGACATTTACTATAATCCACTGAAGAGTAAACGTTTTTCATTTGCAGTAAAATTGAATTCGCACACACACTGGATGATATCTATTAAGAAGTGCCCCGAGCAAATTTGGTGTCAGAAGAAGTACTTCTCATCTGATTTGTTCCACCCGAGCTGGAAGTAGTTTATGGCTTACTAATGCACAAGCATAATAGATCAGACAAATGGTGCAATGATGGAGAGGGATGAAATCAGTATGCAGCTCTGATGTCAGAATCAGCGCTCAAGTCATTTCATTAAAGCTCAAAATCTCCACGGCCCCTCATTCACCGTGAATATTAAGGTGCCTCAATGAAGATCCCCAGCATTAATTTCTAATCTTCTCCTCTGGCACTCATCAACTTCAATGTATTGTTAGAGGACTGATTAATTAAAAACAGTGGACTACACAATATGTTTAAAGTTCAGACCGCAACTGTGAAATGAATAAGTGGTAAATGAGCTGAGCTGATGCCATTGTTTTTCTCTGAGCAGATCCCTATGTGAAAGTATCCCTCATTTGTGACGGCAGACGTCTGAAAAAGAAGAAGACCACAACAAAGAAAAACACCCTGAATCCAACGTATAATGAGGCCATTATCTTCGACATCCCTCCTGAGAGTATGGACCAAGTCAGCTTGCACATCTCAGTCATGGATTATGACCTGTAAGTTGCACAAAAATAACAGCCATTTCTCGCTTTTACATTCAAATATAAAGGGATAGTTTAAATCCAGTATTGCTGGTATCACAGCATTTTGTACTGTGAATAACAATTTACACATTGTTTATGAGAATAGCAGTGCTGAGGTCTGAACATACTCAAGTCGAATTTATTATTTGATTAGGGTTAAACAGATGTTCGACTTAATTTGTTTGTTTAATTTCAGCCCAAATAAGTTGTTTGCAAACACTTACCCTAAAAACATTTAGTAAATCCAAATAATCATCTTTGTATAATTTGTATAATCCTCTCAGAAAGAGCCAAAAAATGACAATGGCTGCATCTCAAATTGCACACTTCTTAAGTATGCACTACATTTGCTTTAGAATTTACTACATGACTGTTAGAAAAGTATGTTCTACATAGTATGAATGTGAGTAGTACACTCAAAAAATTACTTTTGCTGCTTGTTCAAGTTTTTTTGGACAACTTAATTGTTTTGACTTCAATCCACTTGAATTGTAGAAACAATTAAGTTAACTTAATCAATTTGTGTTGGGAAACATGAAAGAATTGTGTGGAACCCAGCATTTTTCACGGTGAGTAAATGGAACTCCAACGTACATCCGCTATTTGCCATTATGTGACCTACCTGTGTCAGTTGTGTTGCTTCACTCCCCTTTATGAATTCTCTCACGTGACATCTTGGGATATCGTAGCATCCATCAGATGCATACTTCAGAATCTTACTGGAAGTAGTAGGTCATCTGGGTACGTCTCGCATACCGTTTTTGAATACTATGAATTCGGACATATTCGGCTTGCATGTTGTTTTTAACATACCCCAGTGGGGAAAATAAGTATTAAATATTCTATGTTTGGTCCAGGGAATAATATTACTAAAGTAGCTGGTGACATGGAATTGAACCAGATTTTGGTAAAAACCCAAACAATACAAACATAAAAATAAAATTAATAAAAAAAAAAATCTGAAAATTTTTTTATGTGTAATAACAATGAAAAGATACAAGGAGAAAGTACTGAACTTCTGAAAACTAATTCTTTATAATAAAGCTTTTTTTAAGCTGAAAGTAGCTTAAAGACACCTCTAATATGGAAAATAGACTTCATTCATTCATACATTCATTCACTTGTCAGCTTAGTCCCTTTATTAATCCGGGGTCGCCACAGCGGAATTAACCGCCAACTTATCCAGCAAGTTTTTACGCTTCGGATGCCCTCCCAGCCGTAATCCATCTCTGGGAAACATCCACACACACATTCACACTCATACACTACGGACAATTTAGCCTACCCAATTCACCTGTACCGCATGTCTTTGGACTGTGGGGGAAACCGGAGCACCTGGAGGAAACCCACGCGAAGGCAGGGAGAACATGCAAACTCCACACAGAAACGCCAACTGAGCCAAGGTTCGAACCAGCGATCCAGCGACCTTCTTGCTGTAAGGCGACAGCACTACCTACTGCGCCACTGCCTCGCCAAAATAGACTTCAACAGAGTGTAAAAATCTTGATGGTCCTGCGGGTCTTGTCTGTCAAATCTGATCTTAAATTTGTATTTTCTGTTGTATTCAAGTCAGGTGATTGGCTGGGCCATTCATACAGCTTAATTTTCTTTCTCTGAAACCATTTGAGAGTTTCCTTGGCTGTGTTTTGGATCATTGTTTTGCTGAAATGTCCACCCTGGTTTCATAATCATCATCTTGATAATGTGGGTGTTAGACTGAAGCAGTTAATGCTAAATTACAATGATGAAGGGCAGAGGATTGCCACTACTGAGACATTTCAGCTGCTGTCTGGGCTTTCATTGCCTTTCTACACCTTCCTTTTTTTCATGTGTTCAATACTTTTTTCCTGCATCATTTCATTTTATTACACATAACGAAATATATAAACTAACTTTTTGTTTTGTTTTGTTGCATATATGGATTTCTTTGGCTGTTACCAACATCTGGTGAAAACTCCAAGTCAACAGCACCTTTAGAAATATGTTTTCTGTGGAAAATGGTGATGTGTTAAATACTTCTTTTCCCCACTGTATATAGTATGGAAGTATGTGATTTTTGACGCAGCCAATGTAAAAAAAAAAACAGTTTTTGTAAAAAAACTAAATTTCTTGAAAATATAAATAGATGCATTGTTTGTCAAGACAGGAAAATATTTGGTCGAGACACAGCTACTGCATAGTGCAATAGATATATTTCTTAGTTAATGAATTCACTGAAAATTAAGCTAACTTTTCAGACCTCATTATGAAGTGTGGCTAAGAGTTTAAAGTTTTCTTTAAATGTTAATGCTTTATGCCTCAATCTTTTAATTTCATGCAGGAAAACATTTAAAAAAGAGAGAGAAAAATTAATAACAAAACTTAACAATGTTAACAATTAGCACAATTATTGTGCTAAAATCTACCTGTACATGAGACTCAATGCATGCAACCCAGACTAGGAGATAATAATATATTGTGAATTTAACAACCTGTACAAGATGTATCAGAATATCAGGAACAGCAGATGTCAGAATGATCACACAGTACATGGACTTACAATGAGAAGGAAGAGGAAAAAGGTCATGTGTCAAAGCATTCAGCACTCACCTTTTTACAGATGGGTAACTTGTCCAAAAAAAAAACAAAAAAAAAACAGGGATACATTTTAGTCATCTCAAACAGTCTGTTTGTTTGTGATACAGAGAGCGTCTAGTCAAGGACACACACACTTATTATATGTCAGGGACTGCTTTTTCTAAACTAGGTTCACAAAAGGACTCACGTAAAGTTCAAAACCACTGAGGTAAATGCATGTTGATTTCTGTATCCTGTGGCCCTTCAGCTATTCTCATACTAAATATACATATATTTACACTCTCAAACAATGCTGCAAAACCATAATATTATCTTTTAGAGAAATGCTTTCAGCTTATGCAGACTCGCACATAGACTAATGGTGAACAGTATATCTGAAAATCAAAAATAACTTTTATCGTATTCCACAGCAAACCGTTGTTGATTTTATTTCAGTGTGGGCCATAATGAGATAATCGGTGTGTGTCGTTTGGGCTGTGGTGCTGAAGGTTTGGGCCGAGACCACTGGAATGAGATGCTTGCGTACCCCCGTAAGCCCATTGCACACTGGCACCCCCTGCTGGAGTCCAAGAAAACAGAAAAAGAGGTGAGTAAGCTCCCTCCAGCAAATGCAAACACAAATGTAATGGGTGGAGGATAGAATATCTCTCTGAATTAGTGTTTCTATATTACTAAGAACTAGATTTCCATATGCAAATTGGTTTGCCAGAATTCATTTCTGACCAGTTGCCAATCTCTTTTGGTAAATATTCAGATCCCTCCAGTCACAGCCTCAAACTTGTGCTGATGAATAATGCATGAGCGGAATATGTCAACGCTGATTTTAATTCACATACTGAAATTCTGTCCTCTTTTCTGACCGGTGGTCAAGAGTTAATCATGAGGCGGAAATAATAAATTTGGCCTATTGCGAATGTTAGGTCACATTTTGCTCTCTTTGTTGATTATTATTATGTTTTTGTTCTGATTTAAAATAATAATATGTTGTTTTAATATACTGTCTCTCTATTTTGAACAAGCTTACATCAATTATTTACTATTAATTAGAAGAAATAAACCTGGGCATCTAAATGATATATATTTGTGCTTTCAGTTCTGCTATTGTTATCATGTTAAAAACCACTATAAATTAAATGTGTGTTCTAATTAAGTCAAGCATTGCTCGCAGTGTTAGCCTTTTAAGCTGAATAAATTGGTGTACTAAAGCATTTTTCATTTTGAAATGCAAATAATTCCTTAGAAGCATGATAAAAGTCAGGTTGGTGATTAATATGCGGTTATGATGATCTTTTTCTAATCCTTTTTATGAAATATGAACTTAACCTTACATCAAAAAAGAAAAATGAAAAGGGGCAGGGCTTGATTTCATCCATTTGGATTTGATTGGATCCTTGTGGTTAGTCTGATATGAGTGACAGGTTGTTCTGCCCTCATGCCAGTCATGAGAGAAGAGATATCTTTACAAAAGATACATGTTAGAGATGACAAGAACAAATGCATTAAAATAATGATGATGACTTTTATTGTGCTCAATGTTGTATTTCTATTCAACATTTTTCGACAATTGTCTTTTATTTATGGCATTATTCCCTGGTAAATTGTGGCTGACTACGCTGATATATGTATTCAACACTTCATAGTCGTGTGGCTGTTTCTAATCCCCTCTATAAATAAAATGGCCTTGACCTTAAATGATGGTGTGTACTCGGGTCAGAAATGAACTTTTTCATTAAGGGGCATTGTTTGCGCAAGGTATTGATTTCAAGGGGCTTTTTCTTTTTTTTTTTTTACCTTTGCAAGGGCTTTTATTATTACCTTATGCACTTTTATTTCAAGTACATAAAGTGAACAATTTAAATTACTTTATTAAGAAATCTAGAAAATGTTTGTCAGTAAATTATATCAACATTGTTGGTACCGTTATTGTTGATTATTATAAGAACAATTATTAATGTTGATGGACATACTACATATTAGTTCTGTTGAACACAAAATGCAAACTTTTAAAGCCTCATGTATGCAGTTTGCTTGAGTAAGGGATATATACTGAATTAAAAAAAATTTGCCCTCCTGTGAATTATTTAGTCTTTTCAAATATTTCCTTAGCCCTGTTTAGCAGAAAGATTTATATATATATATATATATATATATATATATATATATATATATATATATATATATATATATATATATATATATATACATTTTGATACATAATAGTTTGAATGACATATTTCTAATAAATATTTTATTTGCCATGACGGCACTATATAATATTCTACTAGTTATTTTGCACAAGTAGTATTCAGCTTAAAGTGTTATTTAAGGGCCTAACTAGGCAAGCTGGGTTAATTAGGCAAGTCATTGGACAACAGTGGTTTATTTAGCATCCAATTAAAAATGATATATTCGAGGTCACCTATTTTACCACTTTTTCAAGATTTTAGATAAGTCTTTGGTGTCTCCAGAATGTGTCTGTAAAGTTTTAGCTCAAAATAAATCAGATTATTTATTATACATTTCTGAAAATCTGAATTTTGATCTGATATGACTGTGGACACACTTTCCTATCTAATAGCATCCAAGAGTTGATTTTGCATTATAGGTGCCCTTTAAGGGTCTTGTAATATTGACCTTAGCAGTGTTTAATTTGATTTTATCCCAGCCAAATTAAAAGAACTAAGACTTTCTCCAGGAGAAAAATACTGTAAAAGAATTCCTTGCTCTGTTTAATAACACTTCACAAACTGAATTCCACAGGAGGGCTATTAATCTTGTCTTCATATATAAAAACTATAATTATCTGTACATGTTTTACATTCAGTTTATAATGTAACTTTAGATACATCGGTTTCAGGCAATCGGTCTCTTCTGAGCAATAAGGGCAGTCTACATAATGCGTCTCTTCTGCTTGTTTCTCTAACACTGTAATGACTGTTGTGTTTTCCATGTGTCTTCTCTTGCAGTGGAAAGCCAGAACAGCTAGTTTTGACAGTCAGGGGTCTTGTCCTTCCCCCAAACCTCCTGCCAGCCCTTGATCAGAGCCATATGTTAAATAAACTCCAGGCTCGGCATCCTCGCAGTTGTCCGTCCGTCTGTCCGTCCGATGAAAGCGAGAGCTATTTCCACCTCCCCATATATGGGTTGTTTTAGATGGTTCCCAAACACTGATCTAAGACCAGACCTGGCTGTCTTTGCCCCACCGATGTTCCTCACGTTCAAGCTGCTCTCAGTCGATAATCAGAGGTTTCGTACAAACCTCTGCACCTACAATGGCAACGTTGTGTACCTAGAATAGCTTGATATCGTCAGCGGAGATGTTTCTTTCCATATGAATTTTCCTCAAGCGTTTGAAATCTGATGCTGCGTACTGAAAGTGTGGAGACGAGAGTTTCCACACAATGTTGCAAGATCTTAAAACTTTAGAACTGCTGGAAATTCTAAAAATGAGGACTGGCATGTAAAAGCTTGATGTTTTGTAGGAGAAAAGAGGAAAATGGATGGGTCTTGTGCTGTGTACTACCAACAAAACGTTTTCTTTGTGGAATCCTCGTGTGAAACCTGTGTGGAGGTAAACGTTTTATGAAGAATATTCATATATTTATCAGTTTATAGATGTCGTGTAAATGTTATGTGTGAAAAGAGACTCTCTAAAAGGATCAGAGCACAACAAACTTTTTCCTATCTATTTATTTCTTGCCAAAAGAAAGACGGTTTACATGTGAAGAAAGTTCAGTTCGACGCTCCACATGTAGCTGAATATATTTGCGTTAATATTCAAACTAGAGTACAAAAGTGAGCATTTAAGGATAAAAGTGCTGAAGTATTCATAGAAATGCGTCTTGATTTATGTTTTTTTTTTTCACTGGTGTAATGGCATTTAAAGAGGTGCAGATGTGTTTCTGCTTCTTAGTAGCTCTGCTGTTAATAGCAATTCAGTTCCTGTTTGAAGCTATCCCGCTGCTTCAAGTACCCGCTGACATCTCCATCTTTTGACATGTCATTTTATTGCGTATCAAACTGTCAAGGTTTACCATATTTGACCTGTTGTCTTGGAAAATGTCTTGCATATATAATGTATGCTTCATATTGTGTACTGTATAAGATCAGGGTTGATATTACAATAAATATAGATTTAGAGGTAATTAACTAACATTCGTCTTCAGAATCACACATTTGTTTTGTTTTATTTAATGATAAAAAAATACACCGTAATGGTTATGTGTAGGATAAAAGTAGGCAAATGGTACAGTCTGGATCCAGCAGTACTGTAAAGCATGGAAAATATATATATATAAACTAATATTCTATTATACTGTATGGGTCAAAGACGAGATGGACGATTTTAGATCGAATTAAAAGTACAAAACGGAAAAAAAATCTATTAAATGAAAGGGTCTACTTGGATGTTTGTAAAAAAAATGTTCAAATATCTTTGAAATAATACTTTGTTGTCATTTAGTGTAACTTACATTTTAAGTAAGCAATAGGCAACATAATTATTTTTACTTATTAAAATCTATCAAACAATATGCCAGCATACACAATATAAACAATGTTAATGATTAAATGGGTAAAACCTATTGTTTGAGGGATAGTGGCAGTGGTTGAAGACACAAAAGGTAAATGAATTAGTATTTTGGGGCTGAAAAAGATTTTTGGGACCTAAACTGTTATACTGAATGACATTATAGTATGTGTCTTTAGTAAATCATGGTAAAATTGTTTAGAAGTCAAGAACATTTACTCAGAAAAACGTATTAAATTTAGTCAGGACACATTCTAATGTGGAAAAAAAAAACATTTTAAAGCTGTATTATACTAATTGTTGTAATGCTTGAAAAAAAACTTTCGTCTTTGACCCATATATACTGTAACTGTCACCTGAACAGTTTCTCAGAAAAAAAAAAAGTTCAGCAGAGCTAAACAGGTAATTAAACAATATTGTTACTATTTATATTCTTTAAAAAAACATCTATTGCTGCAGATACTTTATTCAATTATTCCTGCAGTTTCTGTGTTTTTATTTTAAATGAATTTTCCAGCCTGATTTTATGAGAAAACTTAAGTATTTTACGCTTTGCCAGTTTAGTGGCTAACTTGTATGAATTTATACAGAGTTCAGTCGGATAAAAATGTATGATTTTAAAAAGGAGGCGTGGCACCCAACCATGCCCTTAAACCTAACTGTCCTTGGGTGATGAGCAAATCGTACTAAATTGCACAAATTAGATTGTACAAATTCATCAAAATCGCTCCTGAATCAAAAAGTTACGAATTGTGGTGAGATTGCATTGGATTTTCTTTCATAATGACACAGATTAACCTGGAATTGAAATGTAAATGACACACATGCTTAGGCAAACCCCTGCTAAATTATATATTTTAATCATTGTAGTTAGTCAAATATTCATAAAAAAAATCGAACCATGCTAGCTACATACAGTTCAAGACCAAATTTATAGCCATCCTGTGAAATTATTATACTTTTTCAAATATTCTCCAAATGCTGTTTAATGGAGAGAATCTAAAAAATAAAATTAAAGTAGACCACTTTTTCTCCTGAGAAAAACATAATAGGAAAATAGTATGAAGTGTCCTTGCGTAGTAAAACACCACTTAGGAAATATTTGAAAATGAATTCAAATTTCACAGGAGGGCTAATTGTTTTGTTTTTAACTGTATGGTGGAAATGATTAGCATAAATGCACATAAATGACATTTACTTCAAAACTTCAAACACTGAATGATATTTCAAATGTGTTAAGAAAAGGCATCTGTCAAAAATGTATAAAATCCTTAACAAAACTTAATATACTATGCAGGAAAAACTGAACAAAACTCTGGATACCCAAGCAACGACTTTACATTCATCTCCAGTTGTTGAAATATCTTGAAATACACACGGCACTATTTTACATAATGTCCTTCCATCGTCACATAGGGTAGTTAAGCTTTAAATATTTCTACATAGCAAAGCAGATTTAATATTTTAACAGAATCTTTCAAAATTCCAAGTCAAGAAATGGTTGTGACTAAGTACGAATTTTTGGTCCTGTTTTTACAATCTCGCCGATGTTGTAATACTCCTATAATATAGAGTGTGTTATCTGTAGGTGAATGTGAAGTTAATGCGGTTTCGATCTGGTTCTTTACCTCATCACTAACTTCTGTGTGCTGGTGTTTTAATAAATTGTTTATGCCCCCTTGTGAATCTGAACAACTTTCTAATTTTGTATCAATCATTTGTACTTGCAATCTAACTTGTAATGTTTGAAAAGGTTCTTGTACTTCAAAAATGCCAAAATAAATTGTTGGTTGAGTCATTTCGAGGATAAAGTTGCCTCTCTTTTAGTCTTCTGGTCTCTTATTATTGAATCACAGATAGTAGGTTATTATTCAGAATTATTAAATTTTAATAAAATGTGCAACAAAAGCAATACATCTGTGTGCCCATAAAGGTCATGGAGTCACTCTCAAAAATCCACATTTTGTCATTATTTATGGGTTGGGTTGTTCTAAAGCTGTCTGATTTAAAAAAAATTGCTGAATGCTGCTATCCATGCCAATACAATTGACAGGCACTGAAACATTCAAGCTTTAAGAACAGAAAACTACTATATAATGATTAAAAAGTGTATTAAAAAAACACAAATTGAGGGTGTTTATATAATTTACTAGGAAAACAATTGCTAGGAAAAATACCATTATGATCCTTTTACATATGTGAGAAAAATATTTTAGTGTTATGCTTTTAAGACTCAAAAACAGCATAAAAGTATAGACTCGTAGTTAATTCAATTGGTTGTTACAAAGCAAATCAACAAATCAATTTAAAAATGGTCAGAAAATTATATTAAGAGACTTTTATAGTGATTGTTTTTCTTTGTTACAATTGTTTTTTTTTAGTTTGCTTGTTTTCATTTTTGAAGCTTGAATACCTCAGTCCCCACACAATGTGGAATAATGTTGTTCAAAATGTGTCTCATGAAAGAAATAGTCATACGGACTTGACAACATGAGAGTAATAATGACAGTCTTTTCATTTTTAGCAACCGCCCCTTTAGGAAGAACACAAACCTTCATAGCCAAGGATATGAAACCCTTTAAAGGGATAGCTGATTAAAAAAAAAGTCAATTCTGTCATCATTTACACACCCTCAAATTGAAAATTTACTTATATATATATGTATTTAAAAAGATAGCCCTGCTGGCTATTTTCATAAGTACTGTAAAACATATAGTTATAATGTGATGCCAATCAATGTCATTATTTAGAATACCACAATAGTTCACAGAAGAGCATTATTTCAAGCACTTGACTGGCTGTAACAAAACAATGTTTGGAGGAAAAAGGTTAGTTTACTCAAAAATGATAACACTGTTATTATTTACTCACCTTCATTTTGTTCCAACCCCCTGAGACTTTTGATAATCTTTGGAACACAAATTAAAACATTTTAGATTAAATGGAGCTCTCTTTCTTCTTCCGTAGACTGCAAAAGGCAAAAGACTTTCAAAGTAAAAAAAATAATAATAACATTCCATGTGTCATCGGTGGTACAACTGTAATCTTGCAAAGCTCAAATAATATTTTTGTGTGCCAAAAAAAACCCTATGATGTTCACCTATGGTTGACATGGTGACGCAGTGGTTAGCACTTTCGCCTTACAGCAAGAAGGTTGCTGATTCAAGCCCTGGCTGGGTCAGTTGGTATTTCTGTGTGGAGTTTGCAGGTTCTCCCCCATGTTCGTCTGGGTTTTTCTGTGGCGACCCCTGATGAATAAAGAGACTAAGCTGAAGGAAAAGGAATGAATGTTTACCTATATTTTCTATTCCTCATCAGGGTGCACATTTACTACACATTTATTTTGGCACACAAAACTGTTCATGGCGCTTCATATGATAAGAGGTATAGATTACAGTACAATTATATGCTTACCCTTGCTGTCTACGGAGGGTCAGAGAGCTCTTAGATTTCATTGAAAATATCTTATTTTGTGTTTCGATAATGAACGGTCCCAAGGGATTAAAATGATTTGAGGGTGAGTAATAAGAACAAATTAAGTGAACTAATGCTTTAATTGGCCAAACACATGAAAAGATTGATACAGTAGACTTATAGCATTATTACCGCTGTTGTTATTATTATTTCAGTATTTCTGTTGATACAAAATATCAATATTTCATCATTTTGGCTACAATCTGATAATCATCAAGTGGTGAAAAATCTGACAATGTGACTAACCTAATAGTATTCTATTGTTCATATGATATATAGCACACTAGAAAAATATGTTTGCTGTTTGTTCAAACTACTTATTTAAAGAGAGTTTGGTATCACTTTCTTTTGATGGTCCCTTTTGCATTTTGTTGACTAAAATTTGCATTGAACTACATGCCAAATACTTCTCATTTTAGTATTATTAGACTGTCTGCTTAATATTTGCAATCCTTCTTGTTGTCCCAACACAAATTGATTACGTTAACTTCATTTCTTTTAGAAATTTAAGTGTATTGAACATAAAGCAATTAAGTTGTTGCCCAAAAAACTTTAAACAATTGTGTTGATTCGTCTAATTTTAAATAAGTAGTTTGAACAAGAAGCTAAATAATTTTTTTTTTTTTATTGTGAGAAAGTCAATAAAGAACATCTGTTTGGTAATTCACATTCTTCTAAATATTTTCTGTTATGTTAGTCATTTATCAATTAATTTAATTCGAGAGTGAATATATCATGACAGAATTTTCCATTTTGAGTAAGCAGCCCCTTAAAGAGCTAAAAACCACCACTATTCCTCAGGCGGTGGCATAACCGCCCATAGCTTCTTCTTGAGTTCTAGTTTATAGAGAATCTGATACCCATCATCCCAAGCGTAGAGCTGACGTTCCTCAGGGTTGTATTTGAGGCTGGAATGGGCCCCATAACGCCTGGGGAAATAAATCAGAGGAGCCTCTCCGTTGCTCACCATATCATTCACATCAAACACGCACTGCACACGCGAGCGGCTCGGAGGCTTGGTGTTATATACCACATAAACTGTGCCGCAGACTATAAAAGCAGCTTCAGCATTGCTCCTCGGACAAGCCGTGTCCCACATCTGCTCAATATCCAGAGAGTTTGAGTCCATCTTGGCGAGATTAATCGTGTCTCCGGCTGGATACAGTGCCCATAACCCATCCTCATCCGCCACCAGATCCACAAGAGTCTCTGGATTAAGCTGATAAACTGGGCTACGCTCCTCCATTGGAAGAACCGCTGTGTCTGCAACCGAACTGTTCGTCAGGTCATATTTAACCACTTGGAGCTCTGAGCTTTCACTGATATAATATAGGAAGCCATCGTAGACTGCATGACCTGTGCCGTTCCAGGCAGTGGGGACAGTGATCTGCTTGCCTTTGGATACGCCTGACGATGAAGAAAGCTCTCGCATGGAGCTGAACTCATACAGCGTGTTGTCAGACGTTCCATTGAAGACGTAGATTTTTGCAGACCTGGCATCTTTGGTCCAAAGACCTTTAGGGCTTCCTAACCTCTTAAGGATCTTCATTGCTTTGAGACTGGATATGATGTTCACACACACTGTCAATGGAAAGAAACATAGAAATAAAATAGGTTTAATACCAAAACAATTCAGAAAAAAAAAATGTTTAATTGAAGATGAGACACTGCATGCAAAAAACACCCTTTTTGGCTTTTCCTCGAGTGTTTGTGCATGGTAACACATTAGTTTAGGTAACAATTCATATCATTTACTACTAGCTTATTTAATAAGATATTATTACAGTTTATTAGTACTTATAAAGTATGATCTTGTTTTACATCCCTAATCCTACCTAATACCTAAACATTAGGACGCATGTCCCTTGCCTTTCTGTGTTTGACATAGCTTTGTTTTGTTTGTTTATGTTGTCTGCTGCCTGCCTTTTGACCATCTGCTTGTTGCTTGACTACATCTCTGGATTTGCCTCTGTACATCTGTTTGCCCTCGTGTTGACCGTTGCTTGCCTGACCATGTCTGTATAGTTAACCCTGCATTTGGATGCTCACTTCCTTGTCCACTTCACCTTATTATAGCATTTTTGGAAAACTTGTAATACATAAAATGTTTTCAGTTATTACTGTAATCAATCAATATTTACCATATTTACTTGTGGCGTCCTTGCCTTAAAAGACACTAATTTTAATATACACTTTAATGTATTAAACTTTGCAGTCACAGCCATTCACATTACACATTGCATGAAAGGTAGTATTTGAAAGCTCATAATAAGGACATTTTCAAAAACGAGTTAAAATAGAAGTAGCAAAGAGCTGACATTGCCTTGTAAGCCTCCACAGAAATGAAAGATCCTCTCTTGAATGTCATGTATGCTATTATAAATGTGCAGACTAGGGAGGATTGTGTGAAATTTAACAAGGAGGATTGTTAATACTCATCCTTCATTATAATTCACAGGCTGTCGGGAACGTTTTTTAATATACATCATTTCATAAGAGACATTTTATTGAGACATTTTGGGCTTTAAAAGATTCCCCTTGTGACATCTACTGAAAAACTAAAACAAATTAAAAACAAATTAAGTCATTTTTTAATTGCAGTGATTATAATAAAGAATATGCAAATATATGCAAATATATAATGCTGTTCACTTTTAGTCTGTGCATTCACTTGCCAGTGCTTACTTTTGCTAATGAAATATTTTCGTAATATAGATCATGTTCAAAACTTTGGAATAATAAAATCATTTAAAAATAAAAATAAAGCTAATAAAAATAAAGTAAAAAAAATATGTAATATGATGACATTTAATAATGATTTTTTAATAATGAAATAATGTAAAAAAAATTCAACAAAATTCTACATTTATAATAGTAATCATGACAAAAATCATCTTCTTCAGCATATCAGTATATTATGATCATGTGACATCGCAATATTTCTGTAACGACAAGGTGGAGTGACAGATACAACTGAGGTAACATCCAATATGCAGATTTATTCAGCGTCAGGCAAGCAATGGTCAAATCAGGTACAACAGGTATGTGCAGGCAAATCCAAAATCGTAGTCGTATTAACAGGCAACAGGTCACAAGATAGGCGGCTAAACAGGAGAACAGGGAATACAGGGCTAAGGTCTAACACAGAGAAAACAAGACAGGGAAACGCGTTGTAATGTCACAATAAAGCAAACAAGACTCTGCAAACTGGATGGGTGAATGAGTGGCTTATGAATGGTGTGTAATCAGTCTCTGACAAGGTACAGCTGGTGAGTGTAATCAAGCTAGATGAATTAGCAGGCGTGAGTGTCTGGGAGAAGTGCATGTATGGATATGTAGTCCAGAAGAAGGCTGAAGTGTAGTCCATAGAGTTCGTGTGAGAACCAGCGATCTCTGGAGAGCGATCGCTGGTTATGTGACAATTTCAGTACATAAGGAAAAGTTATTTTTAATCCTAATGATATTCCACTCCTCTTTTACTGCATTTGATCAAATAAATTCAGGAAAAAAAAAATCTTACCTTTGTAATGAATGGATGGATGGATGGATGGGTGGATGGGTGGATGGTTATGTGGGTGGATGGTTATGTGGGTGGATGGATAGTTTGACATGGATGAACAGATTAAATTGATCAATGTCAGAAAGCCAAAAAAAAAACACATCTACACTTACATGCTTTGATTTCAACATTCTGAATGACAAAAGTGACTACAAACAATTTTGTAACATCTAAACCCCTAAAGCCCTTTAGCTAATCCAGTGAATTGATTGCCTTGATTCTTTGTTCCTTGTTTCCTAATTAACAGGACACAGCATTTGTTTTCTCTAAATAAATAAAAACTCATTATAAGCCAAGGTCTCTAGCATTAAAGCAAAGACTGATCTCATGGCCTTATAGCTCAATCTCAGTATAGGTAATTGGGCTGCTTGTTCTCAAAACATAAAAAAGTTTTAAAGCACAGTGTATCATTCTGTCTCGAACCACAGCTATTAATTCTTCCAGCATTACAATTTTCCAAAGAAATGTCTAAACAATTTGCCCAAGCCCGTCTGCCACGCAACAGTAGGTTCAATTTAGCCAGTCTTCTTGATCCAGGACTATATCAAGACTATAAATGAAAAAAAAAACATGATCAAAAGTAGAGCTTAAAGCAAATTATCCTATAAACATTTTTTAAATTTATTTGTTATAGTTGTTTTTATTGCTCTTTGTATTGTTTATCACTTACACATAAACACACATGCATATTGGTATTGGTGGTTTACAGGGACTCTCCATAGGCATAATGCATTTTATGCTGTAAAAATGCTTATTTGTCAAGATCACCAGCCTGTGCAGATTGCTGGAAAACTACACATCTGCCAATTTAATAAACTACAATTCTTGGCATGCACCTCACACACACACCAGTTCTTGAATCCCCTTGATTACACACATACACACAATTGAAAGCTCATGATGGACTAATCATACGAAATATAACAACAGCACACACACACACACACACACACACACACACACACACACACACACACACACACACACACACACACACACATCATTGCTGAACTTGCTTGTCTGCCTTCCTTGTCTTGCCTACCTTGATTTTGACCTTCGCTTTGCACACTGTTTTATGCTGTTTTGCCACCTGTCACGACCATTCGCCTGCATTTTTCACTTTGCTTTGGACAACCTAGGCTCATTCTAAAATGTACCTCTATATACATTTCTGGGACATCATATACATCCCAGAAGCTACACTTTTTTTTCTTTTTTTTTCAGTTTTTGTTTTTGCGAATCCACCAGAGGCAGTTGTCAGATGACTGTTTCACTGACTGAATGACTGACTGACCGATTGACTGACCCACCCTTCTCCTTCCCTAAACCAAACAAATAATGTTTTCAAAAGCACAGATTGACTTCGTTTATTTTATTTTTATTTTTATTTTTGGGCTTCTGTTTTTGTCTTAATCGCTTTCTGGAACCGTTATTCCTCAGACTCAAACCCTGTCATCGTAATCAACTTCTCTCTGCATCTCAAGTCTGCAGAAATACATTGTGAGCTAACTGGACAAACTGGTAACAGCGGGAAAGCTGTCTATATGAAGGTAAGCGGTCAGCTAGTAAGCTTAAAAAAGAAAAGCGTAATACCACCCGTAGCATTCATTTTAAAGATGAAATTCAGCCATACATATGTCTGGCCAGATAATTTCCGATCTCCAGAGGACTACATTTTCAGAATGAGCCTATGTTGGCTTTGGATTACCTGTATGTTCCATTTTGCTCCTGTTTTGACCATTGCCTGCCTGACTATTCTGTTTAATAAAGCTGCACATGGATCCTCACCTCCATTATCCCTAAATCTTTATATTATTATATGACCTTAAGCCATCCCACATCTAAACCCAACCCTCACAGTAATTTTGTGGCATAATTTAAATGTGAAATGACACAGTTAGGTATTATTTTAAAGAGTTTTTAATTACAAGGACATCAGGCATGTCATCGTAAACTCCCATAATAAGCTACAACTATGTCATACCTATGTAATTACAGAACAATTTGTCCTTGTAAACCACCAAACCAGTACACACACATTTAAATGTTAATGCTTAGTCAAATTTAAAGTGCTTATGAAATGAGTTTTTATATACTTCAAAAACATTATTATTGTAAAACTGTTCCATTCTTTAATGTTTAAAACAATGTTTTGTAGCTTTTGATTCTCACAAATTGAGACTGATTGTGTTACAATTTTTGCATGGATGATTCTTCTGCGACTGCTACTGTAAACTTGCTTTAAAGTTGTTTTAATGCAATTATTTGAACAAGGATGCAGAAGTATAGCTCATACAATGTTCTTGCTATTAACAAGCCATTAACTATGACTTTTGCCTCAATAAACTCCAAATTCTCTTCTTATTAATAGTCATTACTGTAGTAGTTGGGTTTAGGTTTTGGGTAGGATTAGGCAGGTAGAATAAGACCATGTAGAATATGTACTTTATAAGTACAAATTAACAGTCAAAATATGACTAATGGAAGCTAATAAGCCAAAAATTAATTGTGAGAATTCATCCTTAAACTAAAGTGTTGCCTAATTATATATTTCAAATTGCTAAAGTTGTAACTGTAGATTTTTTTAGTTGCTTTAAAAAGTAGTTTGTTGCATACAGCTATACATTTCTTCCAACTAAGTTTCAAGTGTTACGATTTTCCAGTAAAAGCTCCAATCCTTTCAGCCAAATTCATCTACCAGACGGCGACATGCTAAATATAGCCAGTCTCCCTGATCCAAGACTATATCGAGGCTAAAACTGAAAGTACACCATCAAAAGTAGAGCCTGAGCTGTCAAAAGTCGATTCCCACGACTCACCTGACAGCTCAAAGAACTCTTCCTTCTTCTTCTCTTTGATGACAGCATCCTGCTCCACCATTTTGTCCGCTGCTTTCACACAAGGCTTTGGGGGATTCTTGGTTTCGATGTAGTCCATCTCACGTTCCACTCGATCCACTCTTGCACCTGCACCCTCCAAGTCGGACCGCAGTTTGCTGTGGTCTTTGCTAAGTTTCTCCAACAGATCTGCGGCCTGCTGTCTGAACTCCTTCAGGTCAGAGTTGTAGCGGTTGTTCTGCTCATGCCAGAGTGCGATGCGTTCCTGTAACGATGACAAATGCTCGTAATTGGTTAGGATGATCAGATCATTGCACTGCATGCAAATTCTTTCCAATGTTAAACTAAATTTGATGACTAGAGTTTTCTGTGCAGTATTAAAGGCCTGCTGGCGGTAATGGTGCAGAATTGTTTTGTAATTCCTCACGATGTGTTCAGGCTACTGAAAAAGAAAGTTTGTTCATTATTTAACAAGTTTACCTAAATTGTTATCTGGATTCAGGGATGGAGTGATGTCTGAGGGTATTAGTAAGGACTTGAGGGAACAAATTCCTTTACAGTTGGAGTAGAAAAGGAGTCAGAAATATTGAAGACTCTTCAATTAAATATATTACTTGTAGTGGGAGAACATCTTTATTTTCTTGTGCTACAGCTTCCATTGACTTACTTGTTGAAAGTATACATGTCCATGCATAATGTAATTTGACCACTGGCTTGGGGATTGTTAACACCATGCTAACCAGGAAAATTGATTTAAGCTCTAATACTAAAACAACCTTGAATTATATATTTAGTGAAGCTCTTGGGCATTTCTTATTCAATATTCAACAAAAAGTTTTTAAACCATAAGGTCTTTATGATTTAACACACACAGAGAGAGAGAGAACTATTGAAAAACTCAAGGCTCTGTAAAATTTAAAGTATTTTTGAAAGACCATTCTGATCACCTACTGTAGACTGGATTTACTGATAAAAACAGTAATATTTTGAGATACACTTTAAACAATTTAAAATTGGTACTTTTTTATTCATTCATTCATTCATTTTCCTTTGGCTTAGTCCTCCTATTATTCAAGGGTCACCATAGCAGAATGAATCGCCAACTTATCCAGCATATGTTTTACGCAGCGGATGCCCTTCCAAGCTGCAACTCAACACTGTAAAACACCCATACACAGTCTTTCACACACATACACTAGGGTCAATTTAGTTTATTCAATAGTTAATTCATCTATACCACATGTCTTTGGACCGGGGGAAACTGGAGCACACAGGGGAAACCCACACGAACACGGGGATCACATCCAATTCACACAGAAATAGCAACTGACCCAGCCGAGGTGACAGTGCTAACCACTCAGCTAATGTGTCGCCTCCTTTATTTATTTAGTTTCTTATTATTTATTAAAGTTTTCATTGTCAGGAAGACTCACTTTTGATTAATTTAATGCATCCATGCGAAAAAAAAAGTTCTCTCAAAAAAATCGAATTAAAATGTTTTCAATTTTCTTTGCAGTATATTACATTCTCTTCACTGACTTTTGAATACGCTGCAGGAGCTACACAAGAAGTATGCTCAGATGCTCCCCGAAAATGTGCTACTATAGAAAAGTAAATATTGTGCCAGATTTTTATTTTTGACATTAAATATGTACAGAATATATCTGGCGTATCAACCCAGGAGCCTAGTGCTTTAGGCTAGCTGCTGTTGCTGACTTCAATATTGCATGATTTTGATTCAAAACAAACTTTCTTTTGCATAAATCAAATTTTGTGACAAATGTTTATAAAAAAAAAAAAGTCATGTGTACCTCAAACTCAATATTTTATAGCTGAATGGACTCCTGCTGATTCAGGCAATCAAGGCTGGCCTGTCTACATTATGAAAGATGTAAATTGAATGAATTCATTATTCTAATGAAGTGTCTGCTTAATCATGAGTAATTATTTAGGTTATTGAGTCAGTCTTATCATTTTTCAGCTCAGCCTCACTGAGAATGAAACTGCTGAGCGCGGCTATTCTGTCAGTCAGGGGTCTGACTCTCTGCTCTGAGAAACAACTTTTCTTAACAAAGTATACAAAAAGAAAGACTATTATAAAAGACTGGAGTCAGCAGTGGCTCTTTCTGATTTAACAGTTGATCTAAGCTATTGTTTTCATGTTTGGCTGATTTATCTTAATATTTAAACTCTGTGACAGGTATTAACAATAGTTGTAATGAACTGTAAATGTAATGATCTACATTACCATTGTTTATCTTTGAGTTTTTGTGTATTAGAAAAGTAAACATCTCAGTAAAATGTCTGAAACTATTTGGATAGTATATTGAAATGTGGCCAGAAACTAAATTTCTCCTACCTCCATCGCCAGCATCCTGTTTTCCAAGTAGTTCATCAGGCCCTGATAGTGGTACTGGCTTCTCGAATGAGCTAAAATGGTCAAGAGAAGGAAGAATATGGTGGCTTTCATGGTGGATTTGGAAAATGAAGGCTTTCAAGTACTCCAGAAAATGAAATAGTGCTCAAAACTTAGCGGGGCTGCTGTTCTGCAGCGTTTTTTGGGATGTCCTTGTCCTCTTATGAGCATATGAGAGCTTGTGAGGAGAAGGGACCAGAAACGGGAACTTTAACGGTTTCAAATTCGCTGGCTCTCTCACTAGGCTGGAATGTTTTTACTAACACTGAGGGAGGAGCCACGTGTCTCCGGCCTCTCTCCGTCCTCCAAAGAGAAGCTTAAAAGATCACTAAAATGCAGAAAAAAAACATGCTGATGTATAATAGGATACTGCATATGTTTGTTTCTGTAGTTTTGTGCCAAAAGTAGACGCTTTAAAATAAAGGTTAGGTAGTTTTCATAGCAATGCAAATGAAAAATCCTCCTTAAGAATGTTAAAAAGATTTAAGTAAACATGTCTTAAAAGAAACATTTTCTTTCCATTATTAAAAAAACCTCCCAATGTTCCATGGATGTCAAAGTTTCCTCATGAAAAACGATGGCAGTAAACAACCAAATTAAGAGCCTGTTAGAAGCTAGGCCACATAAACACACGTTATCTAATACAGACAACCTTTTTTAACAAATTCATAAATTGGTGGTTAGAAAGTACACCATGCAACATTTGACCTTCTAAAACAGCACAACTGAAACTTATAATGATATACAGTATTACCCTGGAATAAATGATCAACCTCAAAGTCATTAGTTCTCTGGAATTGCATTTTGAACAAAACATTCAACTGTTATATTTTATACTTCAAATAAGAAGAATATTACAATTTAATATTATTTATAATTTATTTTCTGAAAATATAGAGTGTACATACATCCTATACATCATTCATTCATTTTCCTTCAGCCTCATAGGGGTCGCCACAGGGGAATGAACCGCCAACTATTTCAGTAAATGTTTTGCGCAGCGGTTGCCCTTCCAGCCACAACCAAGTACTGGGAAACACCCATACACTTTTGCATACTCATTCACTACAACCAATTTAGTTAGTTTTATTCACCTATACAGCATGTCTTTGGACTGTGGGGGACACCGGAGCACCTGGAGGAAACCTATGCGAACACGGGGAGAAAACTCCACACAGAAATGCCAACTGGCCCACACTTGACTGGAAACAGCGACCTTCTTCCTGTGAGGCGACAGTGCTAACCACGCCGCCACGTGCCACCACATGCAATGCATATACAAAATACTATATGTCTTCAAATGCTATAAATTATTTATACAGTCAAGCCCGAAAGAATTCAATTCAATTCAATTCAGCTTTATTTGTATAGCGCTTTTACAATGTAGATTGTGTCAAAGCAGCTTCACATAAATGGTCATAGTAACTGGAACAGTGTGGTTCAGTAACTGGAACAGTGTGGTTCAGGTTTTAGTGTTTAAGTTCAGTTCAGTTCAGTTTAGCTCAGAATTCATTCCCCTAGGGAATGTCAACATTGGACATGGTTTAAAGTCTTTCATCAAAGTTGATCTAAAACTGTTGATCTAAAACAAAGTTGATCTAAGACAATTTTGGGGAAAAAAATGTATGTGATCTACTTTAAATGTTGACTGCTATTTAGGCTTTGTAGCATCATTCATTTTTTTTCTCTGTTTGTTTAGTTGTTTTTGCAACAAGTGATTTTACATTTTTCATGGTTCATGCACTCAAAAAAGTTAATTTTGCTACTTGTTGAAGCTACTTATTTAAAATGAGTCAAAAAAACACAATTCTTATGTTTTTTAACTAAATTGATGGTAATAAAAGCGCTATAAATAAACTGCGTTACTAACAGCGTTATTTTTCAGTAACTAATCAAATGAATTACTGTATCCCTCGTTATAATGCCATTACTGAAAATACTGACAATAAAATGCGTGTTATTATCATTGCGAACACAGCAGCAGTTTAGATGCAAGCAGTGACCATCTCAGGCCCCGTTTACACTAGTGCGTTTTAGTTTTAAAACGGCATTGTAGAATGAAAACGATCCGCGTCCACACTCGCGTTTTACCCACCGTTTCTAAACAGCTCTCCGTCCACACCAAAACGCTGAAAACGCACATCACGTGACCACACACACACTCTCGGGCAAGCGCTCCAGCATTTCTACCCAGATGAGAGCTCTGCTTGTCGGACTGCTCATCACGCATCTCCCGCTGGATCTAATCTCACTATATTTGCTAAACGTGATATTTCATTCATGTTGTTGTCTTTATATAACGACATAGGCCAATTCCCTGACTTTGGTCATTGACATCTATTAAGTTACTTGTTCACGGGTAACATGTTTTGGTTAAGCGCAAAGATAAGTTAATGATTAATCCAGGTACATTGACTGATCGCTCGTCTTTATTTCCTACAATGTATAAACTTATTGTATGTTATACTTTATAATTATCGATTATTAAAACTGATATTCAGCAAAAGAGAGGGTGCGTTTCGTATTTTCACTGAAATTGAAAGGAGGCAGTTGTTATCGGCTCCGTTTTGTTATAAATATGCACACAGTGAAGATGACGCTCATATATGCAGCACAACGCCTCAACATTTCTGCTGTCTGTTAAGTTGCTAATATTAAAAAGAAAATAGGCAGTTCCTTAAATCATGTTTACATTTTATTGTTGAGAAAGTGAAACAACGTAGCCAAGGTGATGTGAATGAAGTTATAAAGTACACTGTTCCCTTTGAAGATTTACCCGTGTCCTCGGTATAGTCTGTTTTCCATATCAAACTGAGAAGGGGGAGACTGCAGCCTTGATCAAACTTGCGAAGTCTTAACTTACAAGAAGAGGTTGCGAGACTGAACTGTGTGTTAGGCTACTTAATATTGAGGAAAAGCCCCAATCAGATAGGCGAACGTTTGCAGCCCCGCCTTCGTTTTCAGATGTCTCCGTCTTTCCCCATCCACACTGAGACGGAGCAGCAGCGTTTTAGAATGAAAACGGCCTCTCCAGCGTTTTCAAAAAGCTCCGTTTTCGGCGCTCGAGAACTCCGGCGTAGTGTGGACGGATGGCGTAACCGAAGCAAAACTTATGCGTTTTCAAACTAAAACGCACTAGTGTAAACGGGGCCTCAGCTACAGGACCTCTCTTTCTCTGCAGTGGGTGTGTGTGTTCAGAGCTGGGGTGAGACAACCAGTGATGATGATGATTGGTGTGTCTGTGAACGTGGTTTAACTGAGAATGATTGGCTTATATAAAGTACATTTCTATTGTTTGCCAATTAGAGGCAGTGTAGTGCAGGTGTTCGCACACAAGCACACGCAATTATGTTGCACACACCAACAACCAGGCATCATAATGAGGGCAAATCCAACAAGTTCAAAGGTTGCTTTTGCAACTGGAAATATATAACTAATTTTCCCTCATTTTCCTCATCGAATGTTTATGTACCGTGCAACTTATCTCTTTGCATGGGTGACAGTGTACAATGTTTTACATTTATTTTATAGTCATTTGAATAATTAGACTTTAACGCAATATTGACTTTCCCTGGCAATTAGCTACTTTTATAATTATGTAAAAAACTAACTCAGTTACTATTTGTGAGAAGTGACTAGTAGTTGTCTTAAGTAAAATCACTGTGCATTGAGACAATCCTCTTTTCCTTTTCTTCAATGCTTTCAAAATAATGAACACATTCTCTCATTGAATGCATGATTCATTGTGACAACTTTAATTTTGATTCAGCAATTTATTTATTTTTATTTAATTAATTAAATTAAAAGTAATTAATTAATTAATTAATTAATTACTAATTGCTAATTAATTAAACTAAAAACTCATTAAATTCACAAATCCCACACCCTAGATAAGTCTTTAATAGCCACATTAATTTGTCCTTGTGACATAATACAGAGTACTCAATTTCCCATCAAATCAATCCCAACTAGTCTAATATATAAACACATATCACATGCTTTCTGTAGAGTAATTGTAAGAAGGAAAGACAGTTTAAAAATAGACATATATTAAAGATATTGTGCAGCTTTAAAGTAGTTTATTCTGAATCAAACAGCAAACCTGATTCTAACTGTCACAGAAAGAGCTCTATCACCTTAGCATAATCCGAAACTTATAAAACAAGAATGTGAAAATCATATCATCCTGGTTATGCAAATGCCACTGAAATGGCACTCGGTTCATTTCAAGCAAAATGCAATTGAAGATCCCTTGAACGCCAAACTGAATTATGCAAAGAGAAAATCCTTCTCATATTGCGGTTTATGATTATTTTGATTAAATCTCTCTGCATGAAAAACAAATTCAATTTTCCCCAATTCTCACAAGAGAAGATCTGAGAACCGGAAAATGTGTGATTTGCAAGGTTAACACTTTAATGTATTTTTTAATGTTTGTTACTGCATGTTGTGTTTTTTTATTTTCTTCATTCCCTGCAGTTTAACCTTTCGTCTCTGTGCTTGTCGATCAGCTCTTCGGGTTAAGTGACTGAAGAAACTGACCTTTGGTTTTGACAGACAGATGAGCTCTATCTAAGATTCACGCAGCCTGAGCTCAATACCAAATATCCGGAAACAAAATGTCAGAATTCAACACTGTGGTCATTACAATCTATATTATCTGTCACTGAGGAAATCTAAAACAAAGTGCAAGAACATGAACAGAGAGGCAGATTTTTGTTTGATGTTGACCATTTATTTATATTATGTTCAATCTACTTAAATAATGCAGCAAAAAAAAAAAAAACAATCAAATAAGTTAAAGGGATCCTTCATTTACTCACACTTAAATCATACTAAACTTTTATGTGTCTCTTTCCTCTGTTGAACACAAAACAAGATATTCTGATGAATGTTGGAAAAAAGAAGCCATTGACATCCATTCTATGAACAAAAATACTGTGGAAATCAATGGCTGTTTTCCAACATTCTTCAGAATATCTTACTTTGTGAAGAACAAAATTCAAAGAGGTTTGGAACAAGTGGGATGAGTAAAAGATGACCAAATTTTGATTTTGTGATGAAGAGTTTTATAAAAGTTGCTTGTTTCAATGAAAAAATTAATATGATAGAATAAACATGAATAATATGAATAAATATTCGTATGATCTGATTGATTTTCAGTTCAGCCTGCAGATTTGTTT